TGCGCCATCCCTGGTAGTGTTCCAGGCCAGGCTGGATGGGGTTGGATCAGCCTGGGCTGATAGTAGGTGTCCCTGCCCAGGGCAGGGAGTGGAACAGGATGTACTTCAAGGCCCCTTCCACCCCAAACAGTTTGTAATTCCAAGATTTTAATTAAAAATTATCACAGCCTTCAAAGCCTTTATTCTGCTTAAACTCCTGGGGACAGAGGCAGCCTGTTTTGTCATCCTTATCCATGGATTTATCCTTCCACATGAAGATCTGTGGCCTCTGCTCCAGAGCAGCAGTCTGAGGTTTTGATGGGTTAGCAAAGGAACACAGGACAGTGGTAGAAGATTGTTGCTGCTGCTGCACCTTGCAACTGTGCTGTGAAACCCAGGAAACCAGTCTGAGCTTTGTGCTGTCTGTCCTCCCTGTTCCACAGGTGAACCACTGTGAAAGCTTGAGCAGGTGCAGCATTTGCCTTTTAGCCAAAAATGCAAGCTCCAAGTCATGTGCCAGTATTGCTAGTAAAGCAATACACAAGTCCAGGTTTGAATGAGAGAGAAAAGCATTAAAACTGTGACTCTTGCTGAGGATTTTGTCTGTGTGGCCTCTGACAGGAAGATTAAGACTCACTGTGCAGAGCCCTTCACCGAGTACTGGACATGCATCGACTACACCAACCTGCTGGAGCTCCGCCGGTGCAGGAAGCAGCAGGCAGCCTTTGACAGCTGTGTGCTGGACAAGTTGGGCTGGGTGAGACCTGATCTGGGAGAGCTCTCGAAGGTAACTTCACACCTTTTTGGTAGCCAGGTCTTCTCTCCCTCCTTTTGGACATTTTGCCCAGACCAGGTCACAAACTGGTTTCCTGGCCAGGAGGTGATTTGTGAGCTCAGCACTGAAAGTTTGTGGAATAACAGAAGTCAAGACTGTCAGCATTTTCCAGGGTTGCTTTCCCATAAGATTTGCATTTTTCTTAGACAATGACCCTCTTGATTTTTGCTTTTCTTGGGAGTAGAGACTTTTCCTTTAGGAGTGAAGATCACACTCATGCAGAACTACTCTGAAGTTACAAGTGAAATGTCCCTCCCCTCCCTTTTTTTAGAAGTACTCAGGAGCTCTCATCAGCTGAACAATGTGTCCTTGCTGTTGTTTGGTACTTCTTGGTAGTTCTTCCTTTAAGTTCTGACTCAGTGTGGCTTTTCTGTTAAAAGCTGTATCACTTCTCCCTTTTCCTTTGCAGGTGACGAAGGTGAAGACAGACCGTCCTGTGCCTGAGAATGTCTATCACTCTAGACCCAGGCCAGAGCCAAACCCACCCATTGAAGGGGAGCTGAAGCCTTCTGTCTTTGGCAGCAGGCTCTTCTTCTGGTCCTGGTGAAGTGGGCAGGCTGTGCTCTCACTCGAGTGCAGAGATGTATCACTGCGAATGTAAATTGCCCAGTAAGCTCTGGGTATAACTAGTGATTAAAGAGCCCCAAACTGTTACGTGGCTGAGCAGAATTCTTTAAACTCACACCTCATAGCAACGAGAACAATGCATTTCCCTGTTTTGCACTGCAGTCACCCAGCCCTGGGGACCCTCTGGGCACCAGTAATGTCAGCTGGTTGATAGTGACTACCAGGCTTGTCCAAGATGGGTGTGAATGTAGCTTGAGTCTTTGCTGCCTCAATCAGTCACAAACTGGCATGAGGCTTTATTTACGTACTGAGAACGTTGCCACTTGCATCAAGGAAACTCTGAGAACAAACAAGTCATTAATGTCTTCCCTTAGGCACAATTGTCAGGTGCAAGACTTTTCTCCAAGGAACTTCTGCAGAGGTTTAACCTAAAATCAATCTAAAGTGTTTAGTCACATGAGTTTGGTGCTGTTTCTGACGTTGCACTTACCAACTGCTCATTCCTCATGCACTGAGGTTGGTGACTTCCATACTTTTTACTAGGGCAACACAGACTACTTCATTATAAAAATCAAGCTATATTTTCAGCACCTTGAAGGAAAATTTTCCTCCTAAAGGATCGTGTCCCATTAAGCAGTGTAAGGAGGTAGCTGGTTTTGTCTCATGGCACTGACCTGAGGGGTTTGGGACAGATTCTTCTTCTGGTTTCACTGTGATAATCTCTTTGGTAGAGGAGTAAATGAGCTTTCTTAAATATATCTTTTCTACAATATCTGAAAGTCATGTTTTACATAGGAATTAGATCCAGTCTTTCATTCACCTCCACCCAATAGCCAGAACCTTACTGCAAAGATCAGGAAAAAATTCAGTGAACTTGATTTCCCAAAGCCATGTGCAATTTTAACTTTCTCTGGGTCAGGTTGTGTCACCTGAACCATAGCAAAGCCTTGTGTAGTGCTCTGCTCCTTGAGTAGCCTCTGTTATTAGGATCTGAAGATTTCCCATCTCCTTGTTTGGGGTAGGATTAAACTGTAATGGGTCTGTAGCTGCAGCATATGTTTCTGATCCATGGAGCTAGTGGGAAATTGTATAACATTTCTCTAAAAATAACTCCTGCACTGTGTGGCTCGTGGGTTCTTGCTACTTTCTGTTGGGGTGCATTGACTGAAACTCAAAGCAGGTGCTGTGTTTGCATTTCAATGTACATACTGGACTGTCTTAGCAACTTCTTGGCTAAACCCATGAGATGGTGTTGCACTGTTGCAGTTTCTCCTTGCAGGTCAGTGCCAGCGTCTTGGAGCAGCCACGTCTTGCTGAAGAGAGATAACCTCTGTCTGCAGAGACTGAAATTAGGACAAGCTTGAGGTCTAATTACATTCAGCTGAGGGAGTGAAATGAGGTTTGGCCGAGCGGAGGATGAATTGTTCTGGGATGTTAACACGTATCACATCAGGTCTTTGGTTGCTGACCCACTCCAACAGTTAGGCAACCTCACAGAAAGACTTTTTAGATACTACTTACCACGTTCTGCTAATAACTTACTATTGTCAGCATAATGTATGAACCATTGCACTGCTGAACATCTGCTTTTGAATAAACAGGCATGGGCATTCCAGTAGTCAGCCCCTAATCATAATTAAAGAGTATTTTTCCCATTAAATTGCTTCTGAAAAAGGAGGATGTGCATAAATACGGGGGCAAGTTTTTCAAATGGCCTGTTGGGAACCCCACCCTTAAGCTGGCTAGTACTGTAAGGAAAAAATATAACTGATTTTTGCTGCAGCCTCAAAGGTTTAAGATTGCTCATCTGTTTCATGACAGCTGAATCTACAGCCTCGTAGGTCAGAGGTGGTGGATCCAGTAATGATGCACCAACCGTGTTTAAATGTCAGAGTTAACTGTCTGCTGGCCTGGATTCCCTCTTCACTTTCAAGCAGGAGTGGGCAGGTGAAAGTACAAAAGAGAACAGCAGAGGAGTTAAATGAAGTGATAAAGTCAAGTAGAATTCAGCCATACTGTGAGCACTTCATTAACCTCTCTGAGATTATTGCATCTTGCCTTTATCTCTTGTGAGGTTTTCCATGGTGCTTTGGACACTGCCTGTATGTAGCTATTTCTGCTCAAAATCTCATGGCTTTACTCAACCACAGATGCCCCTTTGGAGCTGCAGTGTTTTCTTGGAAACCAGAACAAGTGGATGTCAAGACTGAGTAAAGACCATGAAAGTATTTTTGAGGAATGTGCCTTGACACTTCTTTGGCACCCGGAGAGCCGACGCGTACAGATCCGACACGGATCCTTCGCTGGCCATGTGAGAAGTGTTATTTGTTATGCTGTGGGCTCTCAGCTCTGCCAGAGCTTCTGATCACATGTCAAATTAAGACAGTGTTAAGCCAATGTGGTGGTAGCTTGCCACACCGTGGGTTAGGTTAGGCAGAACCTGCTCTGTTCTTTCAGACTGAGGGTGGGAGGAGTAAAATCTGAGTGTGTTTTCTGATCTCAGTAGGGTGGGAGTGTGTGTGTTTCTGGTACAGCATGGCACTAGCACAGCAGCATTCTTCTGAGGAGAAACTCTTCCCTCCAAGACATCTGGAGTTAGACATGCTCTGGTTTCAAGTGGTTCTGCTCAACTCTCAAGGCAAAAGGGCTGGAGAAGGTACTATTAGCCAGAAAGTCTCACAACAGCTCCCACTCTGCTCACAGTCATAGATCTGAGCAAGTGGAGGGAAGTGATTGGTTTTATTTAGCTTTCTTGCAAGTTCCACAATTCTGTTGCCTGTCATATGATGCACATTATCAGCCCTGCTATACAATGTACTTCTAGGAGTCAGTTTGAGTGGAACAAGCCTTCAAGTGTTTATAAGCTGACACTGGTGAGGTCAAAACCCATTCCTGTACTCCTTTTCCTCTCCCTGTGACTGCAATATGGTCCCAGAATGGATCAATAAGGTATTTCCCCATTCATAAGAGAAGAAAAAACGGCATCTTTATTCCAAAGATTCATGGTTTTAAAGAACCTTCAGCCCAAGGACACTCCTGTAAAGCTGGGGAAGGAATTCGGAGCTCAGGACCGTACAGTCCTTTTGAAAGGTTGCTGTGTGTTGTACCGAAGGGTTTAGGAGCCAGAATCCATCTGGGCATTAACAGGAGATTCCAGACTCCCTCTTGTGGCTGCGTTCAGTTGATTTCGGGCGTCTCTGTAAAGATTTTGCCATCACCAAAGTCTGAAAGCTGCTTCAGTATTGCTGACAGAAACCTGATTGTGTCTTTGCTGTAAAATTCCCTTGAACGTTGTCTCAACTTGATTTTTCCTACATGTGAGAACTCTTGAGTATGAAGTGAGAGGGAGGAAGAAAAATGGTTTGAAAAACGTTCAATCCCATTCAATGTGATTTAAGGAAGGTAAGGTCCATCAAAGCAATGCAGCATCCAGCAAAGTAGGTGGAATTGGTTGGGAAATCTCAGTGTGCCTTGTATTTGCTTCTCTGAATCCAGAGAGGGGATAACCCTCCACCAGAGCAGGGTGGTTCTAAACCTGGTGGGGCAGTGTGAGCAGTGTGGGACAGGCAAGAATGGGGAGCAGGTTCATTGCAATATTTACCTGTGCTTAACAAACCCCATGATTTCCCTTTGTTAGGAACAGACAAGACCTTACCAAATTATCTTGACAACATAACCCTGAGCTTCTGTTAATGATTTTCTGGTGTTCCATGTGAGCCCTTTAGCTGGAGACTTGATCTGAATCTAAGGCACCTTCTGCATGGTTGAGCATGGTGCAAATAGTAATTTGATAAGGAGAGAAGATCTGAAAACACAGAACAGCAAACTAGAAGCAAATAGTCTGTGGTGTGATTTGGGCTATTAAGGCAGTGAATCAGCCCCACAAGCAGAAGGATGCTGGAAGAGGACCCCAAAGCAGGTCAGCAACACCTCACTCCGTGGTGCAGGGGTTATTCCAGGGTTTGGCTTCTGCTCCAACACAAGTTTCAGCACTCCCAAGTGCTGCCAAAGCATGTCTGTGTGCCATGTCTGTGCTTGGTGAGGGCAGGCAACGAGGGAGGAGACCTGCATTCCCTGGTGCTCCCACACTGCCTGGCAGTGGAGAGCTGCTCCAGGCTGTCACAGGGCTGGGACATCAGCAGAAGCTGTTGGGACACAAACAGCTTTGCTGTGCCTGACAGGATCCAGGAACAGGAGCTCAGAGAAAAGAAATGAGAGTGTTTAATGAGGTAAAAGCTCTTCCACCTTGCTGCATCCCAAGCATCTCCCCATTGCTGCTGCCCTCAGTGCCTGTGAAATAGCTTAGATCACGTTTGGCTGTTGCAGATGCCTGAACAAAAGGATTCCAACCTGTGAGTTCCTGTGCTCTTGGCTGGGCTTGGCAAATGCAGATGGTTCAAGCAAGTGTTTGGTTCACACTGTGTTCTGCAGCACACACAAAAAAGCAAACAGCTTTTGCAGTTTTGATAGGGTTTAAATTAATTTCTCCCTTCTCACCAGGGGAAATGAGGGCTGGGAAGAACGGCCATGCCTGTTGCTTTGTTAAGCTCAGCTTTGGCTCCAATTCTGGCACCAAGAAAGGAAATAAAATACAGGGAAAGGGAGCTCTGTAAAAGAGCTATGGGTCTGCTCCCAAGTCGACAGGTTAAACCACACAAAACCCTGACTCTGAGACTTTGCTCTAATATTTGTACAATCAGCATGGCAGCTCTGTTAAGGGCTATGAGTCACCCTGAGGGTGGTTCAGCTCTTTATAAGTCATAGCACAGCCTTCTGCTTCCATGCAAACAGCAGTGAGGGTGTTGATGGAGCCAGAATTACCCCTTTGGTTAGAGCACTGATCTCTGTTCTGCTCTCGCTGCCTACTGTGTACAGCTGTGCCCAGAGAGGACCCTGACCCATCTTTGAATGGGAGAAAAGGGCTGGATGGAGCCCTTAAGGTGAATGGCACTGATGGAACCCTCTCCCGCCGCTCTCCAGGCTCTGCTCGGGCGGGATGGGGTGCTCAGGTGTGGCCTGACTTGGCTCTGGGTTTCAGGAAGCTGCTGACAGCAGACCTGACCCGGCCATGTGCACACAGCG